CAATGAATTGTTTTAGACTAAATTGAGTAAATCTCACAGTTAATAATTGGTATACTTTAATTGATAACATGTTAAAGTTTTAAATTAAAAATTTTATATTTAAATCCTGAACAGGGTAGATCGACTTGGAAATGAAGGGAACAAACCATCAAATTTGTGTGAACAACCAGAAATGCCCATAAGGTTCCAAGGCATCCTCTCCTTTTCCCTTCTAAATGGCAGCAACTGGAAATGCTATCTCCAGGCATCCAACTTGTTCATTCCACTGGAACAGCCAACAGTACAGTTTTCAATTGATTCTCTCACAATTATTGAACATGTTGCAATAGACCCCATGTAAGTAGTTTTGAATTAATGTAAATTAATATTTAATTAATAAAAAAAATTGAAGCAATTTGTTATTTCCAAATTTCAGAGAAATGGGTTTAAATTTAATTGTTAATGTTAATTTTCTATTAGCTCTAGAAACAAGATTTTAACGTAATAATAGTTCTATTGACATCAATTAATCATTAAATTGGAACTATTTTTTAAAAATAAAATTTTAAAATAATAATTTACTTTAATTTTTTGTTATTATATTAGTTTATTTCAAGTCCAAAATATTCTTATGCCAAACACTGAGCTTTCATTTTTTTTTTTTTTTTTGTGAAAAGAGCTTTTAATTCTTTGCTATGCCTTGAAATGGATCAAAACTCATGATTGGATAGCAAACTAAAAGGAAATTAGGACAAAAAAATTTGTTTTACAATTCAAATTATTTCATATTATAAAATATCAAATTTATTAGAATGTGTCTGTAAAAATATTCCATTCCCTACTTTCATGTAAATTTTCTCATCACCATGCACTTTTCAATCAAAGCACTGTGTTAGGACTCCCAAGGTCCTATACATCACAGCAGAACCAAGTGATATCCCAATTCCTACAAAAGAAAGAATCAATTAAACCATACAAGATGAGCAAGACTTGCCTTTTCCCAAGTGACATCACTGGATGAAGCTGTAAGTTTTCCTTGACAATTGCTTGCAGGTAAGGAAGGTGGGGGGGATGTCTGATTCTTTGCTGACTACCGATTCCTACAATAGAGTCAATCTCCTCCCCGAGCTGCTTGAACATTTCACATACGTTGATTGATAAGTTCTACCATTGTTAGTGCTGTTAGACTATCAACTTCGGTAATGAATAGTTCTTTTAAGATATA